TTTTGGGGAAAGCTGAAGTGTAATGCAGGAGGTTTGGACAAATAGTTGACAGATGGAATTCATTGTGTAGAAGAAGGGGCATTTCATTAAAGGCCCCTCTGAGAAAGAACCCCAAAGCATACAAAAATTTACCCTGAGTAGGTTGGAAAACCCCGGTGAAATTTTGGTTCTTAAAAAGCAAGCCCCAAGGGGAAAAATCTGGAAAGAACATCTGAAGCTCACCACGATTACCCCAGAGGCGTGAATTCCATTTAAAATAGGCCATGATTGGCAACGAGGAAAATCCAAAAACCCTTTAGGGAAGGGCACTACGGATAGAGGTTAAAAAAATTTAAACCTCGGCAGCATGGAAAGTGTTCAAGCGCAAAGGGAAGGGGAGGTTGCGAAGAAGGGGTTGTGGAGATGAAGGGGGAGGGAAGAAAAGGGAACGGAGGTGGTTCAGGTCTATTGAAGGTTTGTCTTCAATATTTCTAAAATGGTTTCAGTGTTTCTGAATTCAAAGCGTTGGGAGACAGTATTGGAGGTAAGGAGGGGGTGGTTAAAGTTGGGCAGTAAGGGGATGTCCCAAAGTGAGGGGGAAAAAAGGGGTTAGGGGGATGGAAAAAGTGTGGGAGGGGACAAAAGATGCAAAAACTGGGGGGGGGGCAAAAAGGGGGGAAAAAAACTTTGGAGGGGATGGGGGGGGAAGGCATAGTACGGGGGAGGGTGAACCTCCACACTTGTAATAGACCCAGAGAGGGGGGAAGAACTGGCCGAGACGGGAAAAAAGGAAAAATGCGAGGTGGAAGAAGGAAGGAGGGGGAAAAAGAAGTTTTGAGAAGGGGTTTTTTTGGGGACTTCTGGAAGTGAGGGGCGATTGGATGAGGTGTCGTATGAGGTCTTGTTGTTTTCGGGGCTTGTGAGGAAGGACGCGAAGTGGAAAACAGTTGGGTGTTGTAGTGGGGGCGTCAGGACCCCGGGCAGCAAAGAATTAGTACCAGATGGTATGGGAGGGGGGAACCCAGAGGAACCTGCAGAAGATGGGACCCGAAGTGGGGGGACGTTTTGAAACACGAGAATTTAAAAAAACAGGGGTGTCTCCTTGAGGCGGGTGGGAAAATCCCTAGCCCAAGGGGGGACCCTTTTGCCTCTTTGAGGAACGGATTTCCCGCCCCTTTTAAATGACCTGGGAACGGCGAGAGTACGAAGGGTGAGCCTCATGACAATTAAGGCAAGGGGAGGTCGACTGCAAGTCGTATTAGAATGGTCGCGGCACCACAGACTGGGCATTCAGCTATAGATCTGCAATATTTCGCTGGGTGACCAAAGCGCCAGCATTTCTACACTGTTGCGGTGTAGAGTCACCTTTTGAACTTGTAACCGATGTCCCGCGACAGAGCAGAGGACGGAAGTTCACGACTGTCGAAAAGTTAATCGAGCCAATTGCAAGGGTATTGTCTCTGCCCGCGGGCAGGAAGGGGACATAAGTGTCTACTTTGAGGAGTGGGAGATCCTGGATTTTCCAGCTGTTCAAAAATGTCATTGTCACATGTCTGGAAATTCTTTTGGACTATGGTAGGGGGCGGGAATGACAGTACCACTACAAAAATTTGAGAGAAAGGTGTTTTTTCAATAGTGATGGAGTAGTATCGATATGCGAAAGGATGAGAAAGATCTGAGCTTGGGTAGCATTCTGGATAGCGACGATGCGCGTACCTCTCTTTGAGAGCATGAAATGAAATACTCTACCAAACATGACGCAGGAGCGCTTTGCCCATACTATGGTCGGAAAGAATAGGCAGCAGAAGAAGTCGGGGCTTAAAGTAAAGAATTTAGTCATTGTTTGGTCCGAAACTGAATGTGGAGAGGGGGTGCATGACGTGTCGGTCTTTTCCGAGTAGAATGGGAAAGGTAACGAAGTAACTCATCAGGAGATCATCGTTGGCGTTTAGAAGTGGGATCAGAGTGGTCCGACGTGGACGGGCTGGGAATTTGAAAATTGCCGCACCGTAGAGGGAGAGGCCGGAAGCATAGTCAAAGGAGAGCGGAGGTCAGACAAATCGAAAGAGTCAGTCGAAACCCTGGTACCTGAAGCGGGTGAGGAAAAAAGCACCAGCAAGAGGTACAGGGGCCTTAGGAGTGTCCGAAGAGTGGTCAAAAAATGAGGCAAGGGTCAGAATGGGGTGTGGTATAAAGAAGGGGCCTGGGGGTAGTAGGTTCATGGACTGGGTTCTCCATGGTTAGGTTACTCCTTTTCTTTTTGTTTTTAAGAAAAAAAAGGAAAATGAAAATGAAAAAAAAAAAAAAGAAAGAAAGGGGGGACCGGCGTGGGATAGTTCCTAGGAGGAATGAAAGGGCCAGAAATCTCCCTCTGTGCCCAAGAAGACCTTGGCACCGCAAGTAGCGCAGATGCAGCATGGAGCCCGTACCATACCCTACCTTCATGCCAGTAACCAGCAGTCCGGGATAGCAACCTCACATCTGCCGAGCTACCTCGGTGGACAAAAGAGGGCGGCCGGATATCCGCCACAAAGCATACCTCCTTCAGCCACCACCCCCGGAATCCGAAAGGTGGCTTCCAGAGATACACCCGTCGCCCGAAAGACACCCAAAGCCACCCTCCGGGATACCGGAGAGGGATCGGGACATCCCCAGGCGATCGGATTCCACTGCAAACTACGCCACCACCAAGAACCTCAACGGAATGGGATGGACCCCGGTACCCTTTCCCCTACCTAGGAACTAGCGCGCCTGTGGAAAAATCCCAAAGGCGAAAAGAGAAGGGCAAAAGGGAGGGGTGTGGGGAGGAAGAAGGAAAAAGGGGAGGATGGGATTGGGGGGGTAATTAGGTTCGGTCTGAGGAAGGAGACCGACAGGTCCTAATTCCTCAGACCAAGAGCCTCTTCGCCATGCCAAGGAGCCCCCTTGAAGAGGAATACAGTGCAAAGTCGCTGTTTAAACAAAAAACATTATCAAAGTTTTTTTTTTTTTTTCATTACACACTGTGTGCTGCAGGATTTTTTTTTACTGTGCACACTGATTACGATAGACCCATTCTTTCAAATGTTGGGCTACAGCTTTCTCTCGCTAGATTTGAAGGCGCTAGAATTTAGGCGTACTAGTATGTCAACCCTGGTGTGTAAGCCATACTAGTATGTCAGAAACCCTGAAAGGGTTAAAATACAATATTTTTGTCTGGTGGAGGAAAGGATATGTACAGTCACAATGACTCTTAGGTAGTTGATAGGATTTAAACCTGTTAACCAATCATCCTTACCACATGGCATCCAGCTAGAAGAAAATGCATATAGAAATGTATGAAACTAATGTGAATAGTAGGAAAAATTAAAGTTGAAAAAGCATAGTAAGACTGCATAATTGAGTCGAGCAGGATTCATGCGATGGAGAAAGACTTGGAATAGAATCAGTAAAGCATGGTTATTGGACACGTTTTGATCTTGATACCTAATTTATTTCAAATGTGGAGTGATCGAATTCCCAGGCTAGCGTGCCAGTCTGGAATTTTACGAGTCTCTAACCGTGAGTTCAAGCCCCGCCCATGGTATGATTTATTTCTAATAAACATGTCCTAGTTGCTTTGTGTCTTTCTCCACTGCTTGTCAGTATTGTATACCTTTATATCCAGGATTCATGTGAAAGGAATGAGAGTAGCTTCTGGGAACAGTTATTGAGGAGTACAGTGGACCCCCGGTTAACGATATTTTTTCACTCCAGAAGTATGTTCAGGTGCCAGTAGTGACCGAATTTGTTCCCATAAGGAATATTGTGAAGTAGATTAGTCCATTTCAGACCCCCAAACTTACACGTACAAACGCACTTACATAAATACACTTACATAATTGGTCGCATTTGGAGGTGATCGTTATGCGGGGGTCCACTGTATATGGAAAGATTTTTTCAAGTGCATAGGGGCTGAAAAATGCTGAAGCAAGAGGCTGGTTAGCGCAGGCTGGAATTTTTTTGTTGCACTTACATGGTGGGGAATAAGTTTTAATATGAATGATTAAATTCAAGATTTGTTGCATTATATTTAAAATAATATCACTTCAAGGGTGATTTGAAGTTGCCCTCCCCTTCATGGATCAAATTGGATTCCCTCCCATTACCCAAGTCCCTCCCCATGAATGTAATAATCGAGAGAATGTAGTGAGCAAAATTTCCAGAGGTGAATATTTTCATCATTTATACTTGTGCAGTAAATAATCTATTTTATTCGGGGAGGCAGTCTGGTTCAATCTAAGGAAGGGGAGGATAAGTCCATTTCCTTGTATCAAGAACATGTCAGACCATCTCTGTTGAAGGGGTATATAGATGAGCAACGGGTAGGTTTTAGGTGGTTGGGGCTTGGGCATCCAACAGGTGTGTGAGAGCATGGTGGATTATGAGTGGAGAGAAATGGTTTCAGGGAATTGACATGCTGTTGGAGGGTAAGAAAGTTGACATAGGAAGGGATTCAGTGAAGTAGGTTTGCCAGACAGTCCTGAAGGTGGGAAGTAGAATGCCTGCTCTCTGGAGGAGGGGTGGAGATGTTATGGTTTGGAGTATTACTTAAATTGTGATTTCTGCATATTTTTGGCAAGACAGCTATTGAATAAGACAAATGGTTTCATTTTAATGGGTCACCCTACCTTGGTGGGAGATGACTGATGTGTTAAGGAAAAAAAAAAAAGTATTGTTGGAAAACCCCATTAGTATTTTAATTTGTTGCAGCAGTATGATATATTTAGCCTTCTAGAGTATTCATTTGTATGATCTTCCTCTTTAAATAGATACAAACAGGATGAAGATGGCTTTTATAGAATCCAAACAGTTAGATATGAAAGCATTGAACAAACACAGGAAATGTTAAATGAGGAAGAAGAGAATTTCTTTGCAAGAGGAAGAAGTGGATTCACCTCAGCCATCATTACCTCCATCTCCATCTCCACCATCACAAAACATTAAGACTGGTGGCTACCATACAAGAGCACTAAGCGAGAATACGTGTATTCTGTGAGTAATTGAATCTATCTGTATTCATCAATAATTGTCTGAGTTTATGGGGAGAGTGAGATTCCAATGATTCTTATTTTCTTTAAAAAAAATGAAAGAGCCTGTTCTTGTCTACCCTGTTTATGCCAAGAGTATTTTTGTTGGGCCTCATTGTATCCTGTATCTTCCTATGATGGATGGTCTAACTCCCTTTTTACAGTAACTTGTGTGCTACTATTGGTTTCTGTTTGTATACTTTAAGTAATCACAGTTCAGCATGTAAATAAACTTTCAGCAACTTAATATTATAATAAAAAAAGTTATTAAAAATAGCAGTAGGAAGGAGCATAGGGTGATGTTAGGCTTAACTGTGGTAGCCCCATAGCACCCCCCCCCACCAACACATGCACGTACGTACACACATGCATGTGTCCTTGTTTATCAAAGAATGAATGTACCAACTAAACTGATGTACAAATGCAGATAAAGTAGGTACTGCATACACATTACATCCAGATTCCTTTTAACCTTGATTAGGGAAAGGAAGATAAGCAGAGGGGATATAAATACTTGTAGGAGTCTTTCTCATGGACATGAGCAGTTCCATGTCAACCCAGAATATACAAGTCATTTATTTTCAAAAAATAAAGTTTAACTGAATTGGTGCACGGTATAAACAAGGTACTAAATTCACACTGTATTTAGTTTACTCTCATTGTAGCCCTGATTATGGAAGGAAGCGAAGGATATATAAATCTTGGAGTTCCTCTGTTTGTATATAAACTATCTCCAGTATCCTCGCATTTTTAATCCTGATGATATCAAGGATATGAAAAAACTTCACTTGTTGAATATGTAGGAAATAACTAACTTGATCACATTTGTTAGTTTTCTTGAGACTCCTGTGGTTTAACAATTTACAGTACAGGAGGACCCCTGTATCCACGGGGGATATAGTAGGGCTCCACTTTATGGTGTTCCATTAATACAGACATTTAAAATCATGACCGAAACTCGCTATACGGCTCCTCCCACCTGACTTTCTAATAGTTACCATGCCCTATCCAGTTTGTTTACATTCTCCGTGAGCACCGCATCTCTACATTGTCTAAAACACATGAAATTTTGGAAATTTTTCAAAGTTATTTCATGTTTTATATTTACTGATAATTATACTCTTGTGTACCTGTACCTAGATAAACTTGCACACTGTGCTGGCGTGCAGATACACATTAAAATCACTAAGAGTGTCTTATTTAGTCTCGAGGACGATATAATAATGATTATTGCATATTATCACCGAGGCGCATTAAATGTAGTATATTACATTAATATAAACATTTTCATTAATCCATTTTTTTTTTTTCAAAATCATATAATGAACATGATAAATACACCCCACAGTAGAATAAATTAACATTAATATGAGATGTTATGTGTATGAATCAAACCCAGACATGTTCATCTGCTTTTTTACTTCTGCATCTCTCTGTTTGCTCACCTTTCACCCTATATTAAGACTACAGATATTTTAAGGTAAGTAATGAGTGTACTGTATGTGCATTTTATCGCTCTAGTCCACTTTAAATGTCGTAGTACTGTATTACGTGTGGGTGGGGTGGCCTGGCTGGCTACCATACCTACCACCTCTGACTTACAATAAATACTACTCACCTCGCATCCTACATTAAGACTACAAATGTTTTAAGATAAGTAATTAGTGTTGTGCATGTGTATTTTTTTAATGCCTAGTTCTATTGCTAATACATGTTAGTATAAACTTATTATAAATGACATTCTGCTTTCTGGCAATAGCCTGGAACCTGACCTGCTGTGCAAGTGGGCCCCTACTGTACATTCCAAGACCTACTGCTGATAGTAGTGAACCTATATTTAAAGTAATTTTTTGTTTATATACATAGATATGATAAAGTTTAATTGATAAATTATGCACAAGTGGAGAATTAGCACTTTCCACTGATGGGAAACACTTCACGACTTCTCTTAGGCTTTGAAGAAATGTCACCATCACACTTTTGTACCTTGTTGTTATTAAGCAAAATTAAGGGTTATTTTTTGGGCTAGGTTAAACCACGGAAACCAAACCCACAGATATAGCGGTCCTACTGTACAGCCTCTCCTCATTTGGCAACATGCGTACTTGTTTACCAACGACTCGGACTTAAGGTGGGCTCTCTGACTGGTATACATATCTAAATAATGTATGTCAGAGCTGATTTCCTCTATTCTGTATATTACAGTATACAGTACACTACTGCATAAATGGTGCAAAGGTGACATTAAAACAATATCAAAGTGTTGACACAAATCCACTACCATTATGGTATGCTCCTCACTTAGTGATGAATTCATTTACGAATGTGGTCTTTGGAACGGAACTCAGTCATTAAGCGAGGAGAGGCTGTATACTGTGGCAGCAGTGCTGCAAGATTATTTTCTTCACTCATTTACTTACTGTGCTTTCCACACACTAATATCAGTTGCTAACGTAAGTGAATGACTGTTAATGGCACTGTAACATGTAGTTAATTATGGGTCACTAGCATTATATAATCTAGCTCATATATGTAATTATATTTTTAAAGGGATGGCCGGTAAGCCAGCTGAAGGCCTGTCAAATCACCAAAAATTGCAGTGGAGGATTGTCATATTACCAAGACCTGCATCTGGAAACAATTTCCCTGTTTCTTGACAGGGTTTTTAATGACTTTTCTCTATATTTAGTCATAAAACCAGTCATGATTGTGTCTTAATTGATGGTCTGCTGTATTTTGTTTATCTTGTGACCACACAAAGGTATTATACAGCATTAGAATTATATTAAGTTTGTTCTAAATGTTTAATTTTTTTTTTTAATTTCAGAATGATTTGGAAAAACGTGTTAATTTGAAGCCACCTAGAAGTGTAAAAACTATTGAATATCAAGAAATAATTCTCCCATCAGAATTTTAGCTACCTACTGTGACCATGGAGAGAGTTTCCTAAACTGAATTGTGCATTGCATCTTTCAAGGAAACTGATCAAAAAGCGCTAAACTCACAAGGGTCATACAACACTTAAGTAATAGCAAAAGAAATAGTTACATTGCGACATTAGATTGAACTAAATATGTACATTAAAATGCTTGCTTCATCGTACTGTGATTACCTCCTTTAAAATTTCTTTTGCTGTGATATAAAATGTATTTGCTTTTATAAAGTAATAAAATGTGGAGTTAGCAATTTTTTACATACATGAAAAATGGTTACTGAAATTATATTGGTTGGGGTATTGTGCAGTACTTTATATATTTTGCTTGTTCCACTTCAGGCAATTATTCTAATCAAAACCAAGCTATGGTCATAGCTCTGTCACTTCAAAATAATACAATTTATAAATGCAAATAATATGAATGTTGATGAACAGTTGTTAACCCCTTGCCTGTGTCAACCCCAATACCGAGGTGTCTCCTGTGTTGCAAAATTTTCTTATGCAATGATAGGAATCTTTTCCCGATTGTAACGACACCAAAAATGAAATTTGATGGAAAACTGACGTAATTATGTTCTCGAAGTTAGCGACAGCGATATTTACGAATTGGCGATTTCGCCCACTTTGAGGCCTATTTTCGGCTAATTCCATTGTTCCAGTCGACCAAACTGCTATTTCTTTAGAGCATTTTCTATCGATTGAGTAAAAGAAACTGCCCATTTACTTATTTCAACTACCCAGTAACGTGGTCAGAAATTTGCCATTTGGCCATTTTCACAAAAATTAAAAAATATGAGAATTTCAAAATAGGGTCCAGGATGAACAATGCAAACATTTCTGGCTCTAAAATAGCATTTTGTTTGTTCATCAGTCACGTCTCCAGGCCCCTCTGATATTACTCTTGCTTTCTATTTTGAATTTTTATTCAAACAAAAAATAGAAGATTTACTGTTATGCAGACTACTGCAATATTGTAATAATTGTATAAATGTCAACCCATTCATGACTGCATATTAGAATGGCTACTTGGACATTTATTGGAAAAATTACATTTGTTTACTTTTGAACATTGGCAAGAATCAAGTTTTTCCTGCTTTGAGCTCCATTTCAAGGCTCTTTTCATAGTAAAACCAATCAAAATCACCTCTATTTCTGTGTTTTCCATTCTATCAATGAGACCAAGAAAACAATACAACATAAATACATGAAAATAGGCCACAAAGTCGGCATTTTAATTAAAAAAATGGACAGTTTTTTTTTTTCTCCTATGCATTGCATGCTGCAGGAATTTTTTTTATATGGTGCACACTGACCACTAGACCCATTTTCTCGCATGTGGGCCTACCAGCTTTCTCTCTGCTGGATTTGAAGCTGCTAGAATTTACGAGTACTCAGTGGAACCTCAAATATCGAACTTAATCGTTTCAGGAGTTCTAAATTCAAAAAGTCTGAAATTTGAAGCAATATGTCCCATAAGAAATAATGGAAATACAATCAACCCGTTCCAGAAACCCAAAAATATTCACAAAAAAATTTACACTTTATAGATTAATTATAGTTTTTACATACAACAAATGGTGTTCATTTATGTATTAATAAATTTAAATAAACATTTAAAATAACATTTTACTTCCTTTATTGAAGATTGGTGATGGCATCTAGAAGATAGGAGGAGGAGAGAGAGGGAGTTGGGTTAGTGTTTGGAAGGAGAATGCCCCTCCATGATGACTTCAGGTATCAAAGCCCTCTGGGGTTACTTCCCTTCTGTCTTTTAATGCCACTAGGACCAGCTTGAGTCACAGGACCCCTGTCTCAAAATAACCATCCACAGTTATTTTTGTGAGATTGAGATTTCCCTAAAATAGGATATGGTTCTATCACTGAACTTATTGCAAAGATGCTGTTTCAGCTTGCTCAGGGTGGTGCTTCACAGACATTTGGACATCATTACACTTCTGTATTATTTTCTTCACATTATTATTATTATAATCAAAAAGAAGCACTAAGCCACAAGGGCTATACAGCGCTGCAGGGTAGGGAAGGAAGCGAGGGTATTGGATGGCAGAAGGGAGGAGGATGATCAGTGGGTTTAAACAGAAAACAGCGGGGCAGGGGATAGTACGGGGGTAGAGGGTAGCAAGAGATTGAAGTAGAAAGGGCTGAAGGTATCAGAATTTTGTAAAGTAAGTCGGTTGTTGTCAAAAAGTCAATGAGAGAGTCTGGATGAAAGGTGGGTCCATAAAGCGAAAAGGGGAAGGTAAGAGAGAGCAGCAGAGCAAAGACGACGACTGAGGTAAATTCTCCCGTGCTCGTTGATGAAGTGGGCAGTCCAAAGAATGTGGCTGATGATAATGGAACTTGGAAATTCTCACAGAGGAGAGGGCGCCTCCCCACGAGATATCCACGAGTAAGACGAGTATGGCCAATGCGAAGACGGGAGAGAGTAGTCTCCCAACTCGACACTGGTGATAAGAAGAGGGCCCAGTAACCTATACTCGGTTTAATAGATTGAAGTTTGTTGCCGCGCATATTTGGACCAAAATTGTTGCCAACGGGTGTGAAGTTGGGAAGATATTGCAGCAAAATAGTCCGAAAAGGAATACCTCTACATGAAAACTGGTAGGTCATGTACTGCTGACCGCGCAACAGTCTCCCTGTTCATTGCCCTGTACGTCAACATGACCAGGGGCCCAAACAAAAAACAATATGTGATGAATGGTTTGAAAAACGACAAGTTGAAGATTGAGACACTTACGGCCCTATGCTGTACATTCTACAAGATTGATGGACTGAACACATCGACTCCAGGCTGAGGGACTGATTACCTCATATCCTCCTTCCTTACGCCTCCTCTTTGTATTGGAATGATGAAGCCACTGTGTGGCGAAACGTTTCCTGAATAAAGATTCCCATATGCTGCATAAGTGTCTCAATCTTCAAAAAACAATATCTTTATGCTTGGTAAAGAATACGGCGTAGCCAAAGTTGGATCGGAGGACTAAGGGATGGGGTGTATCAAATTTCTGTATAGCCTGTAAAGCACTAAGGGAGTCTGAGACAACCACAAATGATGACACAGGCATAGATGCAATATGGATAAGTGCTGTAAGGATGGCATACAATTCAGCAGTAAAAATACTAGCGAAGATATTAAATGCCCTTGTACGACGCTGTCCGGAAACACTGCTGCGAATCCAAACGCCATCAGAAGACTTAGAGCCATCTGTGTACACAGCAATGGCATGAGATGAGAGTGAAAGTGGTCAAGAAAAGAGAGTGGGAAGTGACCGTAGACAGTTGGGCTTTCGGCAAGGGAGAGAGAAAGAAGAAAAACTCGAACAGCTGGAACTTCCCAGGGGGGTAGGGAAAAGTGGATGCTACATGTACATAGAAAGGTGGTAATTGAAGAGAAGAAAAAGAGCGAATGAAGGCGAAGAGAGAAGGGACGGAGTAAAAAAGGGGCGACGAACAAATAAAGAATGTCTACTAATATCAGTGACAATTCTATAAATGGAAGGTTGCGGAGATCACGAGAGCGTACATAGTAGCGAAGGCAATGGGCATCACGGCGATCGGATAAGGATGGAACGTTCGCTTCTGCTTTAGAGGCTCTCGACGGGGGAAGAGCGAAAAGCACCAAGGATAAACGTAATCCTTGGTGATGTAATGGGGTTAAGGCTAGAGAGGTAGCAGGAGATGCCGCTGAATAGATCTGGTCAACATAATAAAAGTTTCGATAAGATACGGGTGGAATGTAGGCAAAGGAGGGTTCGACGATCAGCTCCCCATGAAAGATGAGCAAAGGGTTTAAGAAGGTTCAGCCGGCTGTGACAAGTTGCCCTTTAGAGAGGTAATGTGAGGTTTCCAGGATAACCTACGATCAAAGAGTAGGCCCAGAAACTTGACTGTTTCACGTTCAGGGATACGGGAGCCATAGAGGTACAAAGGATGATCGGAGATTTACAGAGCGTCTAGTGAAAGTAATTTGGTGGGTTTTAGTGCTGGAAAATTTTAAAACCCCTGTGTGGTGGCAGAATTGGAAACACGGGTCGACTGCTGCTGGAGAGAAACTGTAATCAGGTGACAGTCAGCGCCTGCACAGGCAATAGCGAAGTATCAACATAGAGTGATGACCAAATATTTGATGGAAGACTAGAGGCCAAATCATTAATAGCAAGGAGAAAAGTGTGCTCTGAACAATCCCCGGGGGGACACCTTCAGCTTGGATAAAAGTCCGGGGAGATCACATTATTAACCCGAACACGGGAAAAGCCTGTTAGTTAAAAAGTTCTTAAGGAAGGATGGTAGATTGCCTCGAAGGCCTAAGGGTGGGCTTGGGCTAAAATATTATACCTCCAAGTTGTGTCATATGCCTTCTCAAGGTCAAAAAATATGGCAATAACAGGGGGTTATTTGCAAAGGCATTACGAACATACATTACCAAGCGTAGTAATGGGTCTATGGTAGAACGTCCCTTACGAAAGCCATATTGACGAGTGGAGAGACTGTTGTGTGTCTCTAAATACCACACTAAACGTCTATTTACTAGGTGTTCCATCACTTTGCAAACTGCACTGGTAAGAACAATGGGACGATAGTGGAGGTTTCATGTCCCGTAGTGCCTGTTTGCGGAAAGGGAGAACAATGGCAGATTTCCACAGCTGTGGAAGAACTCCTTGTGACCAAATAAGATTGTAAAGGTGTAATAGGACTGCAAGGGCTGACTGATGTAAATGTTGTAGCATACGAATATGAATGTCGTCGGGCCCAGCTGCCGATGATCGGCAAGCTGAGAGTGTGCCTCCAGTTCTTGAAGTGTAAAAGGCACATTATACTGTTCTTCTCTGAGAGAAGAAAAGTCCAAGGGTGCTAACTCTCTGGCAGACTTTGAGGAAAGAAATGAGGGGCATAGATGGAGTCCCTGAGAAATACGGACCAGATGATTGCCAATTTCATTGGCAACATCTAGTGGGTTTGCTATATCAACACCGGCAACCCGCAGAACAGGAGCCGGGTCAGGAGAATATTTACCACTCAGTTTTCGTACTTTTTTCCAGACTGCACTCATAGAGGAAGCAGAGGTGATGGTGGAGACACAATCTCGTCAGCAAGTGCGTTTAGCGTCACGGATGACATGGCGAACGATCGCACGCTTCTGCTTAAAATCAAGAAGTCTCTCTGTGGTTCTATTGTACCGGTACCTGCCCCATGCAGTGCGTTTCAAACGTACTGCACGAGCACAAGCAG